GTGAAACTCGTATCGAAATGCGGTTATCAAAATGCCACTAGATGCTCTAACTCATTGCATATGCATTTATGATCTAGTGGAGTGCTAATACCCTTGAAAATATTTGTGAAAATATGTTAACACACATGTGCACGAGGTGATACACTTGGTGGTTGGCACATTTGAGCAAGGGTTAGGAACTTCACCGGCGGAGTGTCCGCCCATAGAATGCGGACAGTCCGACGGTGCCACCGGCGCCCTGTATAGAATAGACAGGGTTTCACATAGTGTATCAGATGTGTCTGGTGGCTAAACCTAGGTGAACATAGGTCACTGTAAGTGATCGGACGCTGGTCTCGGTAGGACCGACGCGTCCGGTCAGTGGCAGCAGTGAGCGTGCGGTTTTGGTCTCGTGACCGGACGTTGGCGTAAAAAGTGACTGGACGCTCAGGGACTACGTCCGGTCTGTATGACGTATGATGACGTATGAGGCACACAGAAGAGACATTGAGTGATCGGACGCTGTGTGTCATGAATTTTCGCTTCTAGTACCTTGCTGGAAACGACCGGACGCTGGTGTTGGTGCGTTCGATCACTTCGAGCAGCGCGTCTGGTCATCACTTCGGGTGCTTAGTATTTGAAGAGAGGGATGATGTGGCAGCCATCTGTTGATTGGACGCTGGCAGAATACGTCCGGTCGATCTGACTGGAGCGTCTGGTCACCCCGAGTTGTGCCCAGTGAAGAGGTACAACGGCTCTATTTTGTGGGGGCTTCTATTTCATCCCCATGGCCGGCTCTAACTCACTCTCTTGGCCATTTGCATTGACATAGCAACCTAGTGAGCTTAGCCAAAGCCCTTCCACTCATCTCGATCATCGATTCATCATCTTTGTGAGATTGGAAGTGAATCCAAATGCATTGCTTGAGTGTTTGCATCTAGAGGCACTTTGTGTTCGTGTTTCGCTGCAGGATTTGCTTGTTACTCTTGGTGGTTGCCGCCACCAAGATGCCTTGGAGCGGTGAGGATCGTCGAGCGGATGTTGGTGATTGTCTCTGGCTCCGATCGTGGTGATTGTGAGGGGTTCTTGACCTTTCTCCAGCGGAGAGTCAAAAGGTACTCTAGTGAATTGCTCGTGGCTTGTGTGATTCTCATCTTGTGTTGATTGTGCGGCACCCTATTGAGAGTTTGGCGCGTGATGTCAATTAGCGCGTGAACCTCTAAGTGAGTGAATCGCCACAACAAGGACTTGCTTACCGGCAAGCAAGTGAACCTCGGTAAAAATTTATTGTGTCATCATTTGATTCCGAGGTGATTAGTCTTCATTGGTATTCATCCTTGTGATTGATTGGTTCACTCCTCGACACGGTGGTATAACTATCTTGCTCTCTCTCTTTACAATACCGCAAACTAGTTGTCAAGCTCTTTAGTGTAACTAGTTGTAAGAGATTGTTAGTTTGGTTAGTGTGGCTCTTTAGTTAGCATTTGAGAGCGCACTAACTTAGTGTAGTGACATAGCTATTGTGTGGATAGAAACTATATATAAACTAGAATTGTGGTAGGTGGCTTGCAATTTTAGTAGGCTAGCGCAACACTTGCTTCGCCTTATAATTGTCTAACCGATTTATTAAGTGTTGTTGTAGAAATTTTTAATAGGCTATTCATCCCCTCTAGCCATTAGGACCTTTCAGAGGCGTGTGTTTCGGGGTACCCAGCTAGGATACATTGATTCACGAATCACCATTTCTGTGAGACGATATGACTTGGCTATGGTCTAGCACCGTAGTAAAAACTGGAATATGAAAGATGGTAAAATAGTTTCGATTGCTTACCACATGCTTGAAAGTAGCATAGGTGCTTACATAGAATGGTAGTTAATGAACTAATGATGACTGCTAATAAAATTGAATATAAGGACGCATGTTTAGTAATGCTTCTGCAGATGCAATAACCCACAAGCCAAATAAGCCTTACATATCATTGGAGTCTTTTATTTTCCTCCTATCGGTAAGTCTTGCTGAGTACAATCGAGTACTCAGGGTTTTATTCCTTCTGTTGCAGGTGACCGTAGGATACATAGAGCTGAATTTTGTATGTGGAAACCTCCTGGTAGACTTAGAGATGATTCCTTCATGCTACGACCGTGGTGTTTATTTATAACCCCCACTGAAGGTTTTTATAAGAAAAGATATAAAATCTGATAGCATCTCTTGTATATCAATGTCCACTATGTTAATACTCCACTATATCATTAAATTAATCTTTGTTTTCGCTGTAACTCTGAGCATATGTTTATTTTCCGCTGCAAGATAAAATTTGTGAACTTAAAATGTATAAACTCTTTTACATGTAAAACTGTCTTAATTCCGCTATTGCATTCAACTTGTTTAAGTACTCTAACGTTGTAATAAAGTGATGTAAGAAATGGTTAAAAATGTTGAAAGCTTTATTATCTCATTTATGATCCTGATGGAAAAATATGGATTTTTGAGTTCTCTTTTGGGGTATGCTCGACGGAACATCACAATTTAGTGCACTCTCTTGGTACTTAGTGTCTAATGGAAGACATGTACTCTTGGGATAACATTAGATTAGGCGGTTCTGCTACACTGCCGCCCAACACTACGCCAGCCATCGCCTGCCCTTCCTCAGTCGTACGCGAGCACTAATAGGCTGGATAGCCCAGCTCACCATTGATGCCCACTGTCCATGAAGAAAATGGTACTTTTTTAGGGAGGGAGGGGGGGGGGCTAGGAAGGGGGCGCTAGGAAGTTTGTAGATACTAATAATATATTTTATTTTATAGTCTTGGCCATCTTGCACATAATCCCCTTCAGTCTATTATGGTAAGCAATTCAGTTCTATCTTGGCCCCCACTTGCCAGGCCTCACAATTCAGATCCATATCAACACACACTCAACATTAAGGGCTAAAACTGTGACACACCTCAACAAGTTTGAGAACCAAAACAACATAATTAAAAACCAAAGACATATATGCTTTGACAAGAACTAGCAACACGATCAATTTAAGGTTTTGACTGATAATATATATGTAGATGAAGAATCAACTATTCCCTCTATTCCAAATTGTAAAACGTTTTCGCTTTTCTGTTTTTAGTGCGCACTTAGATATATACTATGTCTAGAAACATATATAGTAAAAACAATGTATTTAGAAAAGCTAAAATGTCTTACAATTTAGAACATATGAAGTATTAATAAAGGCATAAGGTGAACAATGCAAATGATTAAAAACTATATGAATATAGATGGAAGAGCAAATAATAATGTAATGTTGTTTGGCCTGGGACCATAATTTTCCCCACGGGCTTCTAGTGCTTCCATTTTCTTAGAATCTCTTGCCCGTGCAAGAACACAAAGGTGATAGTAACATAATCATTGGCATATATTTCTTTTTCTTTCTTCATTTTATTTTCCTGTAATGGTGATTTACTCTTTCGCGTGATACCACTCCTCCTACTTGATTATTCCGTGTCCTATCTAACCATAGCTTTTAGGCGTTTTATCAAGCAGCCATTTGCGTACTAACTTTCGAATGATAGGGACTATAAAGACTGTAAAGGTGGGAGCACTGGCATGCACAGAGGAAGCATGTGTTGGAGCGTGAGTTGTATGATTGCTTCGGATCACCATCGACTGATGGCCGCTAACGATCGAATCTCTTCGCTCTGGAAATGATGGCTTTTGATCGACTAACTGAGTGAAAATATCACGCGGGACGATCGATCTCACACCCAAATCGTCGGTGTAGGCGACGCCGCGACGTTGCTTACTTGCTTCAGTTCGTCGGAGCCGTCCACGCTTCTGTCGCGCCTGCGCGTGGGTAGCCACGCCAAAAATCCACCGGCACGACTGACGACTGGCGTAATCGATCGGCCGTGGTAGGCCAGCTGCGTACCGTACGCGCGCAGGCGCGTAGAATTTCAGGATCTGATGACGATTTGCCTGTGTAATTAGTTTTTTCGTCGATGCGCGCGTGAAGATTTGCGCGCAGCGCGCAAATTTTTTGGTTTTTAGGGTGAACTAAACGGGGCCTGATGCGTGCCCCCGCGATCGTCGATGCCGCGCGCAGCGCGCTGTTCCTGCGTCAGCAGCCGTGCTGCTTGCGCTTGCTCAGGTCGTGCATGCACTGCGCGTGTCAGCAGCGGCCATCTTCGCGGCGCTGCGGCTCAAGTTTCGGGCCTGCAAAGTTCCAAAAAAAAAGTTTCGGGCCTGCACGAGCGCCACACTGTCAGGCAGGCCTGCCCCACCCACTGCGTGCGGGAAACCAAACTTGAGTAGTGGGGGCGGGCGCATCAGCAGCTCGCGTACAAATTGAAATCATGTGTGTGTCCTTTTGACCTTGGCGACCTACTTGTCCGCCACGTACAGTACCAAAATAGAGACACGCTGCGACAGTGCATCCTGGCCTCTACGGCTACACTATCATTTCTTTTTCTTTGCTTTCTATTCTACGAGTAATAATAATCGAAACGAAACGCTTCACGAAAGCATGCTTTCCAACTCTAGGCCTGGTTTCCGAAATTTTTTTGGCTTTTGGCCATCAGAAGACTTTCGTTTGATTTGACAAAAATTGATTATGGATTATTTGCTTAAAAGATTAAATCTCCACGATTTCTCGCTAAGCTAATGTAATTAGTTTTTTAAATCTACATTTAAGACTCCATACACGCGTCGCAAAGATTCGACCGTTTTGATCTTGTAAAAATTTTGGATTTTAGGGAAACTAAAGCGGGGCCTTAGATTGCAAATTTTTTGTAATCTGGACATCAGAAGCACGTTTCGTTTTGTATTTGACAAACTTTGTCCGATCATGGACCAACTAGCCCTCAAAGATTGATTCGTGATTCCGTGAATCAAAGCTGCATAATTAGTTTTTTTATCTACATTTAATGCTTCATGCATACGTCAAAAATTAATATGACGAAGAGAGAATGAAAAAACTTGGAACTTTTGAGGCAATCTAAACTAGTCCCGAGTATAACTTGATCATCATGCGATGCGAGTGCTCCTCCCAAGTCCCGAGGCCCTCCGCTACCAGCCAGGGCAACACATCATCATCCCAACCTCCCAGGTGAAGCCAGGCGATCAGCGACTGCGCTGCAGTTCCACTTCCACAGGCGCGCAGGCGCAGGCGCACACGCACACCAACGCCCCTGTCTCGGCGCGGCTGCAGCCGACGCCGGTCTCTGTCCCTGTCCCCTGCTGCCTAGCTTCGTTCCACGGTGACACCATGCCGGCGCCCAAATGGTTCCAGAAGCTCCGGAGGAGGAGGAGCAAGGGCAAGCAGCAAAGCCCGTGCAGAAGCCAAGTCGCCGAGGCGGACGCGGACGCACCCGCGCCGCCGGCGCAGGGCCAACAATGCCCGTCGCTGGTGCCAGCGCCGTGCGCCGTGTCCCCCAACAGGGCGTCCTACTACTTCGCCAGCGCGGACCGCGCGCGCCAGGACAGGGACCTCCCGTGCGCCGCCGACCTACTGGACGTCCGCGTTGACGTGGTGCACCGCCACGCGGGCGACCGGGGGCGGCTCGGCGGCCTCGACGCGCCGCCGGGGACGCCCGAGCTCAAGCTGCGGCGCATCGTCACGAGGCCCGTCACCGACGCCTCGGAGAGCGGCGGCGTCAGCAGCTCCAGCGGTACCACGTCGGCGGCCCCGACGCCGTCGACCAGGGCGCGCGGGTTCCACGTGAAGCCGCCGCTGGCGGGGGGGCGGAGGCAGCAGCAGCGCCGTCGCCGGCGGCGTTGCGAGCGCGACTACCACCACGACAGCGTCGCGATCAAGAAGGGGAAGGCGGCCGCGCAGGAGGAGGAGGAGGTGGAGGAGATGTCGCCGCCGCCGTCGTCCCTGCGCGTGCCCACGCAGCGGCGGCGGCGGTGGCTGTACGAGAGCCTGGTGGTGGTGAAGACGTCGTCGGACCCGGAGCGGGAGCTGGCGGAGAGCATGTCCGAGATGGTGGTGGCCAACGGTATCCGGTCGTCAGAGGACCTGGAGGAGCTCCTCGCGTGCTACCTCGCGCTCAACGCCGCCGAGCACCACCGCGCCGTCGTCGCCGCGTTCCGCCACGTCTGGCTCCTCCTCGACAAGCACAGGCTGTTCATCTAGCGTGCACCGTGCAGCCACGCGCCTCACGCAAACACCAGCTGACACCGCTAGCGTAACAGCGCAATCGCGTGAGCTGTGACGGCGAACATGCATGGATCTTGCCGTGTTTATAATCAACACCTATTTTAGTTGCTTCTTGGTTGTACATTCGTGCCGGATGGAATCGCGTTGCGTTGGAGCTCTCTCGATTAGATCGATCACGCAACCAAAGTTGACAGCATTTCTTGTTCGCTGTACGTGTGTCGGCATCGGCACGCCGTGAGGTTGAAGAATGGAAGCGCGCGCTCCACATAGGCCGCAGCCCCACTATGGTTCCCAAAACGAAAAGCGAGCGGAATCGTGTGCCTTTACAGCTCGACGACGCAGCAGAGGATCAATGCGGACCGAGCTGTTGATCACCGACCCTTCCTGTGGAATTTTGCTTTGAAGATCGGCCAGGCCGGCCCTGGCCCCTCCTGGCCTGGGTCTCACTCGGCCACTCCCACTCCCCGCACCAGGTAGGTGAGGTGAATTCCGGAAGGCTAGGCTAACGCAGCGCCGGACCACCAACCGACTGCTAGCAAATTAGGGCCGATTGGGGTTAGGAATCAATATTTAAAGCATCCCTGTGGTAGGATGAAAACGGATCGGATACTTAACGGATATCACTCATATTATATTTGTTTTCATATTTAGTTTCGGATTCGGATTCGGACACGGATAGCGTTCGGATAGAAGACGAATAATGAGTATTCGATTTGATTTTACAAATATCTATTTTTGAGTAAAATTTGATAATTATTGTCTAATTAAAAGAGTATTATGACACTCAAATATTTATTCAAATTTGAAAAGTTTTGAAAACCAGGATATATATATACATATCAAGATCTACAATTGAAACCATTACAAGTTTCCATATGAGATATAATTGATCTAGTCCAAGTAGATACAAAAAGACTAAAGAGTTTGACAACAAATAAATAAAGACGGATACATCATCAAAATTCATACAAGCACCAATCGTAATTTACAATCAAACTATGTAATTAGTTATTTAAGATCTTTTTATCTAGATTTAATATTCTATTTCACAATACGTTTTAGAAAGTCCAAAGATTTGATGTTTGATAGGAAAATGAGCTATGTAACAATTGTAGATCTTGCTGAGATGAAAAACTTGAAAATTCAGAGTTTTTCAATCATTTAGTGTCTCAAGCAAGGCCCCAAGCATCGGTAGCGTTCGTACTAAATGCAAATTGCAGTGCCTATCATCTCCGGTCGTCTCGTCTGCCACGATGCCATCATTGTTTCACAACGAGGCCGTCTCTTTCTTGTCGATTTTCCTTTTACAAACGAGGGAGATGCCTGTCCCAGTGGTGACATTTTAGGTTGGACACTCTTAAGACCGCATGTCGAGTGCGGCAGAGCAAAGGCCTAAAGCTCGAGCTCAACTACATCCCCATTTGAAATTTTACACCACAGTGCACTTTATGCATTTCTGAAATTATTATTGGGGTAAAGAGTGCATACATGTAGATCATGTAAAATTCTATAGTCGTCAAGTTTTTCCACGCAAAATTGCATTGTGTGTCAACATGACGTTTTAACTAATTCTGAATTTCCACAGCTGCATTTTTGGAATAGGGTGTGGTGTGGGTGAGAAAGTCTTTTACCTTCACCCACCTCCTGGTCATGACTCCTGAGTGTGTGAGACACCGTTCACGGCCACAAGTTTCCTCGGAGTGAAAGTGTGAAACGGACTGGCACTATGGAATGACAGTTCTCCACTATCTGCTAGGATTCTGCTCCAAGCTGGAAACCGCCAGTCCACTACGCACATCCTGATGCGACCTGCGCATCTGGTGCTCATCTTCTGCCACTCGCATCCGTCCCGGCGGGATTGCAGAACGAGCACGCCCAAGTTCCAACACCGACCAAAACCAGCGCGCGACTGCGCCGTGTAGAATATCGCGCTGCCAGTTTGCGCAGGGCCAGGGCGGATCTGAGTGGAAAGCTTTTTTCCGCGTCCGTGGCCTGGCTGCCACTGCCAGGCGAGTAAAAGAGGAAAGCAGCAAATCCCTATTCCCTACCACAGAGCAGCCCAGCAGGGGCCATGCCAATGCCAGTTTGCCACCATCCCTACCACAGCAGCGCCGTGGCAACGGTGAGGCAAAAGATGGCCTTTTGAACTTTCAGAGAAGCAGGACATGGACATGTAAAAATATAGTACAAAAAGTTTTGACGAAAGCTGCACCGTGGTGCCTAGAGTGAGCTACTCTATAAAAGAAGCTTTAGATGGGCACCCATAGAAGCTTTAGATGGGCACCCGGTGGATTATGCAGTGCTTGCCATTGTAGTAGAATTAGTGTCTAGGAAATAAAATAGCTAGCTCATCGATCTGTGACGTGCTGTGATCGGTGACACAGTGAATGTACTGGGCTTCGGTGTTTGGATAGCGGATACGGACTCATCCAAAGGACATAGCAGGGAGGAGTTTCTATGCGGCTGCAAGAGAGAAACACTCTCTTTTCCCTTTTAAAAGAGAAAAACAGGAGCTCTCAGGCACCGCACATATGCCAAAAGAGGTGAAAACATGAGCTCTGTCGACCCATTATAATAAAAAAAAAAAAGAGTTTAGCAAGGTTTAGTGTTGACACTTAAATTGGGCCCAGGCCGGTTTTAAAATCGGCCCATGCAGTTTTAGCCTAATTTAAGAAAAACTCTACGAGACAACCTGAAAATAGTACCGCATTGGTTTTCAACGGATTAAGACCGTTCTACTCCATATAAAATATGGGTACACGGCGGATTGAATTTTTATCAATATAATAATATATATCCGCTTTTTACCTCTTATCTCTTCCAACCCTTGTTATCCTACATGTACCTCGACGGGTCGTTTGAGGTAGCCATGCCAATCCTAGACCACTCTCATCGTGTGTCCCTGACGAGTCTTCCTGGGAGGTGTTCAGGGTCTATCAGGCAAAAACGAGCATCTAATCACCCTCGTCGACCTGCTGGCGGCCTCGCCATTGGGACCTCCCTCCGCTGCGTGTTAGGCCATGTGTGGCCTCTAGGCGATCTAGCCCCTACCAAGGTGTGACCCAAATCGACGTCAACAGTCAGATAAGAGAAGCGATTGTATTGACGAGATCAAGGAGAGGATGCTGTGGAAGGTTGGGGGTGGTTGTTTTTTTAGGAGTTATATAGTCAGAGTTAACCTCAGGTCATGAAGTTTCATATCCAAGTGCAAAGCAGCCGCGCTTTCTTTAGGTGAGCTAAAAGCTAAAGTAGTTAGCAACCCAAAACAGAGGGATCGGTGATGCAGGAGGCTGAGAAGAACTGAAATGTTTGGCATGGGCTCATAGCAGCGTTGAAACATGGCAACGCAGGGGCACGGTACAATGGTTTCACCGTCTCATCGACCGCCACTCCGTCAGAGTTGCTGCATTGGTGAAACGGTGGGCAGTGGGCTGCAGACCTGCAGCTCTGCCGTCTGCCTTTCGGCAGCTGCGGCCTGTAGGAACGTCCGAACGATCAGAGCTTGATTGCCGGATTGGTGAAACGGTACACTGCAGGATGCAGCTCTGCCTTTCCACCATTGCAGGATGCAGCTCTGCCTTTCCACCCCAGGCCCCAGCAGATGATGAGCAGTGTTGCAGCCCTTTGTCGGAAGGAGCTTTTTTATCATGAGCTAATTAGTCCCTGTCACATCTATTTTGGACAGAACGGTGATGTTCTTCATGTCAGTTGAGACTGAAAAGGGACCTGTACGAGCTGAACAGCCATTTCAGTCAGAATTTCATGACAGCTGATGACATGCTTTTACGATTTTTCGTCATCTATGATCTATCTGCTGTGAAGCAAAGAAAAGTAAAGGCAAGAAGACTTGAAACAGGGCGATAGCCAATTGTCATACGGCAAACGTAAGTATTTTGTTACCTGATCTTTCTCCTTGCTAAGTTACACTAGTGAACATTAGCTGTATAAACCTTGTTCGGTGTAGCTAGACACAACTACGGAAAAAAAATAAGAGAAAGAGATTGATAAGGTACCGACGACATTTTACACGGTATAGGGTTATAGGCTACTGTGCCACTGCAATCCTCATATCTATGCGCCCAAGAAAATTCTGCACAAAGCTCAACTGGTCAGCTCCTTTTGCTAACTCTATGATCAGCAGCATGTTCGTTTCGTCGTAAACGATCGTGGATTATTTACTGCTGACTGGTTTGGTGTGAGAGAAAAATAATGTTCCAGCTTATAATCCACGATCGTATACGAGCAAGCGAACAGGCTGCAGTTGTATCCGTCTGTATGACCTATATAAGTTCTCACCGGATCCCAGCTCTAAGAGGTGGGAATTCATCCTCGTCTCCCGCTTTGCAAAGTCCTGGGGGTCTGAAACAATAGAAAAGTCAACTATCGGGATGCTTCATATAAGGACAGAATTGTAGCCATTGTAGCGTAAAGTGCATGGAATTCAGGAACACATAACAGCAAATCTGGATGCTAGACAGACCTATTGGTCTTCCGTGACAGTCCCTATGTTCCCAATCCCCATATACTACACCAATCATATTTAAATCACATTTAATTTTATGCCTGAAATATACTTGCAGGAATGCAGACTGTACACTAACATATAATTCAATGCTATGGACTAAACACTTGGAATTACCTGTTTTCAGTTGCCGCGGCCCTGGACCTCTGTAACACAAATGGAGAGGCATCTGTAAACACCTTACTTGTAGTTTGTGTGTTAGTAGCTCCGTTTGACTTCAATGTGGATAAAGGCAGTGCAAAAGGTCCCAAAGATCCAAACTCTATAGTCTCAAGTGGTCGACCATTTGCAGCAGGGAAGTATGATTGAGGAGCATTAGATGATGGAGGCCTCTCTTGGCTATTGATGTCATGATGACAAGAAAGCAATAACTCTGGCAGGATTGGCCTCAGGTGACTTCCCTTGTCAAGGATTTTGTTTGAATTAACGTCCTTTTCTAAACCATTTGGAGTGCTTGCTGCGTGGCTGCATGGCACTGCACCTCTTACGAAAGATAGCGAATCCTTATTATTATTACAATTTTGTTTTCCAGCTGATGTCTTCTTTGTGCAATCCCAGACATGTCGTCTGTTTTCTAGCTTCAATGGCTCACAAATTGGTCTCTGCTTTGTTGGCCAGTCAAGTATCTCATACTCTTTCCAAGTGCCAGAGCTGTGCTTTCTGGGCAAGTTCTTGCTTAGGCTAGCTTTATCACTCTCTGTAGTATTTTGAATGTTAAATGGTTGATATTTAGGCATCTGATTTGTTGCTCTGGGAGCTCGTGTAGACTCCATGTCAGTATCATCATATCGGTTTTGCAAAAAGTTCTTGTTCAAGCAGACATCCTGATTGTACTTTGGTAATTGTCTTGCTTCATTGTCATGTCGGACAAATTCCTTTTGAGTATGACAACTGAGCTTTTCAACAATTTTCCTGTCTGATTGAATGTATCCATGTATCTTCAAAGCTTTACCTATTATTGTTTCTTTGGTTCTACTGTCTAGGGCAGCTTGCTCCTTGCGAGACACAAATCTTGCTCCTGGAGCTGACTTCTGGTTGCTTTTATATGTCACTGATTGATTTGGCAGTATTTTCCCATTCTCTCTTGAAGATGTCAATCGCTCCCTGTGAGTATAACAGCTCTGGCATACCAGCAAAAAAGAAACAAAGCTGTAAGTTGTGATCTTAATATATTAACAGACACATTTTCATTGAAATGTACCAATTAATGTCACGAACTAACTGGTTCAACTGAAGTTAGGATAGGCAGCAGGTCAATTAACAAAATGTTGTGGTAAGAATGAAAATGGCCAAACTGGACTGAACACTTTTTTTCTTGAAACTAAGAAGTTCACTAACCAAAAAATCATCACTCAGTTTGTAAAAAAAGGAGAAGAGTACCAAGTTGCTGGTAACTAGACACACAGACAAGAGATCAGCTATTGGGAAAAAAACATTTCAATACCTTTGTAAAGTACGTGTCTATTCCATTTCCATGCATCATAGCGCTATCCTCAGAGCGATGCAACCATGAAACAGAAGAAACCTCTGAATCGGCACAAGAAGATGACAAGACTCCATTTGGTGGAACATCGGTTCCAGAGGGCAATGAGACACTCTGCTGATTAGCCATATCCCATGGGCTTTCATTCCGTGAATGCTGGGAGACACATTCTGTGCTCTGAGAACAAGAAACAGGAGACGAATCCCTTCCATTGCTTTGAGCAGGAGAAAGCAACTGTAACCTTGGCGATGCTGCATCTCTGCCCAAGAAGATAGTGCAAGCAGGAATGTGAAAGGGATCCTTGTGAAACTTATCAGCAGAGGATGCTTCCTGAACAGACTGCAAAAACCCATCAAACAAGTATTCAAGGTGGTACTGAACTTGACGCAGGCATCTAAATTGTGAATCCAGATCCCCTGAAAGATCTGGCAAGCTTGATGGTGAGGGAGGAAAATGTTGTTTTCCCACATAGGTTGTAGCACTCCAATTTTTCTGTTTGGTGGCAAGTTCTGAAGCATTGACAGTAGCAGAGGTGCTCAATAGTGATGGGTTGCTCACAGAAACTTGTGACTGTACCTGCTCCATTCCATGGTCCAAGTAACATTTTTCACTGTCAGCATGACTGTCATCTTGGCAAAACGATGAATGTGGTTTTGGTGCATTATGGACAAAATGGGATGATCTTGTACTTAACTCAGTACTTAATGCAGTGTTATGGACTCCTGGAGAACAACTACTCAAATGTGTAGGTCCATTAGTTCCAATGTATAAGTTCTTATCACCCAAGCTCTTTGAAAGATGACAAGAAGTTATGTTCTCATCTTCACCATCAGAAATCTTCATACTTGATATATCTTCCAAAATAGCCTCGGCAGTACCAAAGGAAGGATGAAAAGCAAAATTGCTGCCAATATCTGGTCTTACCCCTATCCCATTCCTTTCCAAAGTGTTTTTGAAAAACCCATAAATTTCATCAGGAATAACTTCTGATGGTAACATGAGAATATGACCAAGCTTTCGAGCACCATATAAGAAAGCTGCTCGAATACGATTAAAGCTAGCTGCACAAAATCACCATTCTAAATTAAGAAGATGAGGTCAGGCAAACCGCAAACACAATGCTAGCTAGCTACACATATGGGTTTATGCAATTATGCGTACAAGTAGCACATATGGGTTTATGCAATTATGCGTACAAGTAGCAGCACAGCTTAACTAGTTGCGATGCCTGAGCAAGCTTATGTGTTACTATATGTTTTTGGATGGAAAATGTTGTATAGGAAAATTGTACCTCTGTTGACACTTCTGCCAAGATTGTTGTGCTCCTTCAGTGGATCAACTATGTTTAGATGTTTAGGACGAAACCTTGTATAGCATGAATCAGAATTTTTTGGAGGTACAGTTGCTTTATCCATGGAGTTCTTGAGGAATTCTTTGTCAAACAATAAGTCACTGGTATGTGTAGCTGTAGCTTCAACTGCAAGCAGGATAAATTTTAGAGATAACTTGGAGAATAGGCCTCAATACATTACTCTGCCAATGAAAATATAGAAAGGTAGCCCACCAATTAAGTTTGGCAAAGACGACAAAGCAACAGGGCCATTTAAACTTATGCAATAGTTGTCCCAGTCAAACTTGCTAAAATATTCCAGAAACCTATAAAGAACCTATTAATAAAAACACAGGGAAACGACAAAGACATGAGCTTTTCTATTATGTAATGAGTAAATATGTCTGAAATAAGTACATCTTTTAATACATACCTCCATAGGGCTGTGGAGAGATTTATGGAATAGATTGAAAATGTAAAGGATAAGTACTTCCAGTGCATAGGTTGATATAAGTCCATGATGAGCTCCTAGTAGGCGACTTTCATAATAGCACCATGCCTTGATCAATATGATGCTCCTCTTAAATAGATGGTTTTTTCCAACTTTACGATCAACCTGACGAAGGAATCATCATTACTTGCTATGACTTAGTATGGTAATAAAATGAAAGTACACCTAGACAACACAAGAAACCTATGTTGAACAACCCACACATTCAACGAGCTAAGTGCTTATTTAACCAGAAAGCTTTTGAAGTGAAGCAATGTTATCAAATCGTCTAATCGATCCTAGTCGCCATGGCACCGATGAGCCCGACTAATCGTGATTAGTCGTGATTAATCGCGACTAATCGTGACTAACCATAGTGCATAGCTGATTGCCATGGCACTGATCAGCCCGACTAATCGTGATTAGTTGGATGACTTGCTAACATTGAAGTGAAGAAGAGTGTATGCTTGGAATATGATTTCCACAAAATAAAATGTGTTAATCACCAGCTCAAGGAAGCAGAGTGCGCAGATCCCGCCAGTTTGGTTGAATGAGATATCAACTATAATATTTCCAATAGTGCATTTAATGAGCCTGACCTGGATGGACATGAATTTCCAATAATTAGATGGGTGTGCAAAACAATAAAAATAACATGTCAAAGAGAAAGATGAGAGACACATAGCTTTCAGTTTAACTATCACGTGAGCAGAATGGAAATACCAAGTAAGAGATCAGATTACAAATCATAGATTGCCTAAACAACCATAAAAAATGAATCACTAGGAAGGTACAGGAAGTGTATACAGGAGAATGAACCTCAGCATCAATTCGTTCCAAGTCCTTCACTACGAATTCAGCATCAGTATTCTGCTCCTCAGACTCAAGAATGCAGGAAACATCATTAACCAAAGTACTATCATAAGATGTATTTCCAAGGACAGTTAGATCAATATCCCCATCAGGAAGGTAAGTCTTCAGTGGAACTGATCCAAATGCAAAAACCTGAGCAATATATAGCAGACAAGTGATAGTTATTACATATATAAACCTATATGCCAAAAGGTTCAACACACGGTTGTACATGAGATAGAAAGGCATTATACTGATAGCAAAATAGTCTGTCAAAAGTCAAAATCATCAACGTGCATTAAAATAGATAAAGCCTAAGGTGAACTTCTACATTAATAAATGCCTGGCAAACTTCTTGCCGGATGCTTTTTGAGAAAAGAAAGTGTAAGATATAACTTGCATCTCCAAAAGGATAGTCTGGAAGTGATATTACGCAGGTTTTCAACAAGACATTCTCATGAAGAAAGACCAAATATTAATATACTGACGACACTTCAGTTAACAGCCATGATTAAACAAATGGTAGAATTCCACAAGGCATCTTGAAATGTTCTTTATTTGACTCTAGGTGGCACACATTTGTTGTAGCCGAAAAAAAATGCACCACCGTACATATGTCACCCATAAGGCCATAACAAGTCACGTGACGGTAATTAAGCAAAGGCAATCATCTCCATCACGCAAAAAAAAATGCAAGGAACAAGCCCGCAATTATTGACAAATGCTACAAGAAACACCATAACATAGCTCCAACTCTAGGGGCCTGTTTGGTTACAAGGGACTAGAGACTAGTGAGCTCATTTTAGTCCCTTCTAGTCCCCAGTTTGCCAAACAGGAAAGATTATGAGGGACTAATAGTCTCTAGTCCAGTAGTCCCTTGAGGGGGGCTATTTGGGACTTCTGGCCCAAAAGGACAGCCCATGCCCCTCAATTATTGCCCTCCCACCATCCCAAAAGCATTGATGGTCTTTAGTCCCTTTTAGTCCTCGAACCAAATAGGGTAGGGGGCTACAGTTTAGTCCCTGCTTTAGTCTCTAGTCTCTTGAACCGAACAGACCCTAGGACTAATGGCTGAATGCTATATAGAAGCCACATGCTCTAAGGAAATCCAGCTAATAAAGAGACATTTCGTACCCATTAAAAGTGATCGGCTGAATAGCAACAAATAAAGGACCAGTTTTCAGGATCTACCATACTAGGTGGTGGGTGCGGACTGCGGAGGGAGGTACTTCCACGTACATATAAGCCCGTGTGCAAACCTCAAAGTAGGACTCATCAAACAGCGGACCCGCTGAACTTCATCAGTGAATAACAATTAAACTGTTCCAACAATGCGCTCTAGGGACATCTCAGCAGAATTAAAAGCAGGACGTTGGCAAGCAGCCGTCGGTGCAAGGCAAAGTCTCTATCCTGCTGTGCCAAAATCCTCTGAAAAATGCAGAGTCAACATGCCAGGAAGATTCCACTACAGCATTCCTCGGCTGCCAAGCTATTCAGTAATTCCACGTGGACGAGTCAACATTGATGGGTGGATAGATATGCACAGCTCGAAGCGGACACTGCTGCCAGCTAGTAAAGCAGGCAATCACGGGCAGAAACACAGCCATTAACAACAAAAATGTTTTTTTCCTTTTTTTTCCTAAGCAAGAAAAGTATGTCTCTACTTTCTCCAGTAAAAAGAACTACTCTGCTGACAACTGCACCCACAGAAAAGGAGATTTTGAATGCTTCACGAAACTTTCTAATCAACAGCATAGAAACGCCTCCGGACTCCTGAGTTTGCTCAAGAAAAGAACGCAAGACAGAGCCTGTCCCGTGTCCATAATAAGCTATATAAAAAGTTAAAAAGGAATAGAAAAAATCCAAAACAGAGCACAGCTCACAGTCAGTCTCGCAGAAAAAGCTCCCCAGCAATTCCTACGTTCATTGGTCCATGCGAAGCCAAACAATTTGGCACAGCAGAACAGATAGTCCATGGGAGAAATAATTATCATCAAAATTTGATCCATGCGAGAACAGATAGTCCAGATACACAACAGAAGCGATCCCCAATTGGGACGTAAAGGATATATATATATATATATATATATATATATATATATATATATATATATATATATATATATATATATATATATATATAATCAGATCCGTACAAACCAAATAAATAATCAAGCGTCTTGGAAAGCGATGGAAGAAGACTAAACAAACCAAAACCAAAGTGAAGAAAACAAAACTGCTCCCGATTGGAGATGGAGGTAGTAAAGGTAAACAGACGGACGAGAATCCCCATACATGTCGACGAAACCCTTATTATACACGGAAGGAAACATCGACGATGACTAATCGATTACCCCCTAGCCGAAGAAAGCACAACCGAAACTCGCAAAGTGAGAACGCAGAGTCGCCCCGCCGCGCCGAGCGCGCGGACGGGAGCGGCCCGGCGCTGCACCGCACCGCAGTGTGACGAGCGCACGCACAATTCAGAAAATGCACCTCGCATCCGAGCGCGGAGCCGACGAGCCTCCGCGCGTAGTCGACGACCTCCGCGCGGCGGCGCTCGGAGGCCTCCGTGGGCCTTACGCGATGCACCACCTCGTCCGCCGCGGCCCCCGCCACCGCCACGGCCCCCGCGGGCACCGCCGCGGGCGCCGCATCCGCCGCCGCCGCACCCAGCTTGCCCCTCCCTCCGGCCGCCATCCGGTGAGCGCCGCTACCTCGCGGCGGCCATGCGGGATTGGGGAGAAACGAAACGGAAGCGGAGTGCGGGGGAATTTTTTTTCCTCGGCTCTCGTCTACCGCGTCGTCCTGGGGTTTTTGCCGAGCCGTTACGACGAGTGAGCGAGTGGGGAGCGCGAGTGCGAGGGCGGTGCTTGGGTTTCCCGAGGCGGGTGTGTGTGGGATGGGTAGGTAGGCGCGAGTGCCCGCTGCCCCGCGTCGGACGCTCGCGGCCGGGGGAGGAGAAGAAACAGGAAACCTGCGGCGGTGGTGATGGGGCAGAGAAGACTAAACAAACCAAAACCAAAGTGAAGAAAACAAACGCCAGAAAATGCCCACGAGGCGGCGGAGGCGGTGGTGATGGGGCAGGGATCCTGTACCTGACGGCCGTCCCTGATCCAGGATTTTATAGCGGAGGCTTTTACACGTACCATTAAAACAAGTTTATAATTACACATAATTTATTAAAAAAATTGACTCCACACGAGTGTCATCGTTCTGAACTTCTTTGTTCTTCAAGCCATTCCGTCGGTGTTCTATTCGTTTTTCACCGTCTGGGAGTCCTGACAAGTGGGTCAGGTCAGTCAAAACGTCCATAATACCCCTCTCATCCCTATCCTCTCTCTCAAACTCTCTCTCTCTCAAACTCGATCTCTATTCTCATGTGTGCGGCCGGGGCGGAGCTCCCCCGTGCTCGCACTTTCATGGTGGCCGGGTCTCAGGGTGGGCGGCCACAGAGTAAAATGCAGCCTGAGGCGGTCACCTTGAGGATGGCGTGGTGAGCGGCCACCATCCAGCCAAAGACCGCCATCTCCTTCTTCTTCTTGGCATGGCATGGCTGGGAGGCGTGCTGCACCTCGTCCGGGCGTGAGGCCTTGGGGGCACACCCACGCTGCGATCACGAAAGGCCGACGGAGGGATGGCGGCATGATGAGCTCCGCCGAGAGGAAACTCTGCCACCGCAAGAGGATAGGGATGAGAGGGGTATTATGGACATTTTGACTGACCTGACCCACTTGTCAGGACTTCCAGACGGTGAAAAACGAACAGAACACCGACGGAATGGCTTGGAGAGCAAAGAAGTTCAGAACGATGGCACTCGTGTGGAGTCAATTTTTTAATGACTTATGTGTAATTATAATTTTTTTTAATGGTACGTGTAAAAGCCTCCGCTATAAAATCCTGGATCCAGATGGTGTGGACGAGGACGCCGCTGCCGGAGGGGACGGCGGCCGCGAGCGCGAGGCCGGGCGTGGACGCCGCCGCCGCGCCGACGGATGGGGGATGGTGGCCATGAGCTCGAAGCTGGCTTGGCCACGGCCGATTCTTGACGCGAAGCGCTTGGCACGAGCTTTCGAAAGTATAGCGAAAGCACGAAGTTCTCGCCCGGCGGACGAGCCTTGCCTTGGCGTGAGCTCTGCACGGTGGGTAAGCGAGCTCCACCGGCCTCGGACGTGAGCACGAGCGGTGTGGACTAAAGAAGCAAGATGACAGGATGAGAGAAGGGTATTTTAGAACTTTATACTGACCGGGCCCACATGTAACGGTGAAAAACAAATATAACACCGACGGAATGGCTTGGAGAGCAAAGAAGTTCAGAACGATGGCACTCATGTGCAGTCAATTTTTTTAATAACTTACGTATAATTATAAACTTTTTTAATGACGTACGTGTAAAAGGCTCTTTATAGCGCGTGAGAGCTCGCGTGCGCGCGTTTGGGGATGGATGGCGATGCCGAGGCGTGGCGTTGGTGAGTTGGACCAGTACCCGGTAGCGGTAGGGTGGCCAGGTGGTGGCCACTGGGGTGGGCTGTCGTCGTGGTCGTGGCAGCTCATCGCAATCTCGCTGGCAGCTGGGCTTGTCTTGCGGGCCGGCCTATAGGCCCGGCCCGTGGGTTCCTCCCTGTCCCCGGCTGCTGCGGCGGGCTGCGGACGACGGAGATGTGCTGGGCTGAATTGACTGGGGGGTGGGGCCGGCCTAGCCGACGTGCCGCCACTCGATGCGTGTGACTTAGACTACGGTTCAATTACAAATACAACCGCACATGGGATGGCATCGGCGTTGCTCCGTTACAACCGCACAGAACCCTGCAGAACATGCCAGCAATGCACTGCGACGTCCACGCAACCGCATTGGGTCTTCTTGAACGGCGGCGACCGGCCGGCCGCGGCGGCTGCAGGTCGCAAGGTGCGGGATCCACTAACGTACGGCCTGTGGAACGTTTGCGGAGTGCGAGTGCACAGCACAGGGGAGGGGAGCGCCCGCTGACCACTGGTAACTCCACGGACCCCGCAAGCTGCAGCTAGCGGTGGAAATTCCGTGCCATGGCTCCCCATCACCGACGAATAACGTGTCTTCGACTTGTCCGCACGTACTACTCCGTCGTACGAGTACTTCATTTCTTCTCGTTTCGCTCAACACAGGTCGTTGCGGTTGCGGTTGCGGTTGCGGCTAGATCAGACACTCTGCGTTCCAGGCACGGCTGAGGACGTCGCCAGCCACGCAAGACCGAACCGAGCCGTGTTTCACGTCCTCTCGCAACTAGCTGGGAGGTGGAGGTGGTGGGCCCCGGAGGTCTAGTCCCCTCCCCCACGCGGGCGTGTGTGCCTCGCCGCCGCCGGACTGGAGAGGGAACCCTGATGGGTGGAGGAAACGGTCAAGAAAGGCGCTACCAGGTCCCGTCGATCAACCGGACAAAAGCGCGGCGTGGACCATGCATCCTTGCCACTTCCAGACGATGCGTGCGCTGCGTTCAGTGCTGCCGTTCTTCCCATCCCACACAGAGCCGATGAGGAGGCAACAGCCAAGAGGCGTGGGCGCGTAGTGGATTCCGTTGGAGCACTAACTGCCGAACGGCCCGTCCTTATCACCTCATCCGTAGTCGGAAAAACCAACAAGGGAGACAAATTAAAGCAGCGCAAAAAATACTCATGCCTCGCCGAAGAAGCCATAGACTTTTATGTTCTTTTTTTCTGAGTGGAAATTCGTTCTTATGATGATGATTCAAAACACGATTTTTAGTCAGATTTCTCGATTATTCACAGACCCACTAGGTTTCTGACCCAGCAGAACTTGTACCGGCCCAACATGTACTCCAATTTCAATGTCCATCCTCCAGGCACGGAGACCACGACCCGGCCCAGCATCACCATTCACCTCCGCACGCTGGCCGTGATTTGCGTGGGTACTCTGGAACTGACCTGGAAGCACATACATTTGCAGCCCGCTGGCCTAGCAAGTGACGCCACTAAATCGCGCGAGCTGTCATCCAACTCAAAACGAGCGAATAATTCTCGGATATAAGTAATTTTCATTTTTTTTAAAAAAATTCACCACTTTCTCTGTTCGGCAATGCCCATCCTGAGCTCTCGGGCTCACTACGTCCTGTGCGCTTTTCCAACTGGTTGTGACAGATGCAAGCCCTAAAAGGTAAAATATTTATTTCAAAATGTTGTAAGGGTTGAACGGTGTATCCATTTTCAATTCCATTTACACCGGTGTGTTTTACGTAACAAGGCGAACAAAACTCGACCCCAGTTGCATATGTTTCGAAGAATTTTATTCTAGTAGCAACTTATGTGTACTAACTTATAACATATAACATTTAACGTATAACTTATAACATATAATTAAGGATGGAAATGGGGCGGTTTTGGGTCGGATATCCGCGGGTTTCAGGTCTCGTGGGTTTGGGTTCGGGGATGATTTCTCATCCACTGTTTAATTTTCGGGTTCGGGGCCCTGAAACCTATCGGGTTTGATTTTCCACCCGTGGATATCCGAAATAAATCATTTGGAATTAAAACTCATATTTTATAATGTGCTAATAATAACTTGTTTACTTAGATTATTAAATTTATTCTAAGTTGACTCATGAAAATATTTATTATTTGTTACCTCTTGTATATACATGTGAATATGTGTATATATATCATGCATATGTTTATGTATTGCTCTTGCTATGTTGCCATACAAAGCGGGTTTCAGGTATCCATTCGGGTTTCGGGTATCCACGGGTTTGGTTTTAGGGACGAATTATTATCGGAATCGGTGTTTGGTGCGGTTTCGGGTTCGGATGCACAGAAGCTTCACCTGATTCGAATCCGCCCCGTTGCCATCCCTACATATAATTTATAACTTATCTTAAAACTTGAAAACACAAAAGCTATGAAATACAACTTATATATAAAAGTTATTGAACACAAAGGAACGAATTCACTTATAACTTATACTAAAACTTAGAAACACAAAAGTTATTAAACACAAATAAACGAATTAACTTATAACTTATACCATATGACTTATGACATATAACTTATACCATATAATTTATAACTTATGCCAAAAGGTGGAAACACAAAAGCTATGAAACACAACTTATGTGCAAAAATTATCAAACACAATTTATGTATATAAGTTATTCTATACAACCTGTGTACATAAGTTATTCTGTATAACTTGCCAACACTGTCAAAAAGAAATGGGAAAGATAAAACATATAAAAACAAAAAGAATACTAAAAACACATAAAACAAAACATAAATAAAAATAAAAACAATAAGAAAAAATAAAAAAATAAAAAGGTAAAAGAAAAAAGTAGAAAATAAAAAGAGATAGTGCAAACCGCGTTCACGTACGGTAGATTGGCCAAAAATGTTTACACAATGTTGCTATGTCAATGCAAATGGCCAAGGGAGTGAGCTTGAGCCGGCTCTGGGGCTTAAATAGAGAGCCCCCAAGAATAGAGCCGTTGGCTCTCTGTTCCCTGAAAAGTCGAGGCGACCGGACGCGCCGGTTAGATCGACCGGACACAAGACCCCAGCGTCCGGTCGCCCGATGCTCGCCACGTGTCATCGGCTTTAAACGCTGATCGCCCGATCTCAACGGTCATCGGTAAACTTAAGTTATGACCGGACGCTCTACAGTGTAGGACTGGACACAGGACCCCAGCGTCCGGTAACTTCTAGGAAGGTTCCAGTCG